AGGTAACTTCACTACCTTATTCTAATGTTAATTTTAGGTATCAATTTAGAGTAGGGGTGTCGAACTCAATCAGAGAAGGGGCCAAAATCTAAAATCCAGCCTAAATCGCGGGCCGAATGGTTTACTGAACAGTCATAAACTGTCATTGTGATGGAAACACAGCGGAGTGCAGTGATGACAGCGCGGTGCGGGCCACATTGCAAGGCCTGGCGGGACGGATTTGGCCCGCGGGCCTTGTGTTTGACACATGTGATTTAGAGGGTATTTATGAATGACAATATTTAAATTGGTAAACTGTGACTAAAACAGATTGCCCTCCACTATGTAGGTGGATCTCATCCAATCAGTTAAAGGCCTGAGCAGAAAAGGCCTCTCAGAGCAAAGGGTGAATTGTCAAACAGACCGACTTTGTTCTTCATCTGTACCACTGTTCTACTGGGTTACAGCCTGCCAGCCTTAGGAATAGAACTGGAATAGAGCTCTCCTGGGTCTTGAGCCTTACTAGCATCCACAATTACACAAGCCAATTCATTACACTAAATATATTTCTTTATATACACACATTCTACTGGTTTTATCTGGAGAGCTCTAATATATCCATGAATATCTTATCCGAGTTGGACATTCACATGAGTGTCCTATATCAAGTGAATAAACTTTTCAAAGGCAAAGAGTTTGTTCATGACGTGAAACACGTGACATTGAGACTGCTGAATAATTCAGCTTTCTGTCCCATTCTGAATTAGGTAACCTAAAACCAGTTTCTAATTTCCCACTCTCATTAATGAATACAATATTTCAACAATGTAGAGGAAATTTACATCACAAAAGTTCAAACAAAGTCTATTAGCAACTATTATGCAGTTACCCTAATCATCAACCTTAATACTCTTATTAATTTCTCAAACTAAATCAGTTATGGATCATTGAGAAAAACCAGTCTACAAACTCATTGAGCTTTAGGACTTATCTGTTCTCAAGGTGCTTACAATAACATGACAGTTTAAATAATAGAGAATTCCAAGACTTAAATTAATGTTAGTCAACACATGGTATAAAGAGTGGGAGAGGCCCTGGAAGTCAATTTGCTAAATTAAAATTTTAACAGAAAGCTTTTCACAACCCAAAATGGTACTCTATATAGAGCAAGAGCAGAAACAAAGGCAAAGATATGAGGACATGTTTTGAAAAGAAAACATTTGGAAAAAAAAGACTGCATGCTTTTTCATTTTGCTAGGAAAACTCACCTCAGGAAAAAAAAAAAAAAATTCCATTTGTAATTGGAACTCCCAGGCAGCAAGCATATGTATAGTACTTCTTTTGTTAAGGTGACTGAATTGTCATTATCTCTGGCATGCTCTCATGAATACACAGGGCTTGTAGGTGAGGAGTGGATTAGAATGGACCATGAGATTCTCACTGGAATAAATATCACACTTAAAAGTCCATGCTGCTGCTGCTTCCCCTTAGTGATTGAAAAGTTCAGGGCTAATCACCATTGCCCTCACTAGCACAGACTAAATATTTTGAAAGAACATACTATCTTTATTGCTTAGAGCATCATGTTTATCTCAAACTGTCATAAACACTGACTGATGTAGTTTATGTCTGAAATCATTCTGTTTTCCAGAAATTTCTATTTTATTAAGATTCTAACAACAAAGAATGTTCTTTACCCGGGGATTATACTAGAAAATATTGCCCCCATGTAGCATTTCTTTTGGTTATTGCTATACAGAAGTATTCAAATGCACACATTCATACACAAATAATCTACCACCCATTTACTATCTAGGGACATGGTGGCTTCTTCCTGCTTGCACAGCATTCTTCCTTCAAAGTTAACAAAGAGATTTTCACATGTCTTATCTTAAAATGTTTGGTGTTTTTTAGGTTTAATTTCAGAATCAACTGGGACTTATTTTACAGTATGGTGAGATAAAAAAGAAATCGAACTTTTTAAATTGAATGGCGAATTAATTGTTTTAAATATTAAAGAAACCATCCTTTACCATTATTTTGAAATGTCATCCTTAACGTACATCTACACAGAAGATCTATATCATCACTAGTAAGTATTTTAGTTTTAGAATACTTTCTTTCACAATTTTAAAATAGTATAAAAATCATTCTTGTGCCCACTTTATTCTTTATAATCAATCTGTTCAACTTCCCTCACTTTCCAACCCACCCCACCACACACACACACACACCACCACCATGATTCTGACTGGCTGTCACTTATCAATTGACTTTAGAAATAAAAAATTAAGACTATAATTTTCTACAACCCATACTTATGAATGTATATTATCAAGATTGTTAACTGATTTTCCTCACGGGTCTGATTTGCCATCCATCTTTGTAATTATGAAATCTTCATGACACTGTTTCTAATTTATTTTTAATTTTTCCAACTAAATGTAAGTTGTAAGTTATGTTATAACTTGGTAGTTATAAAAACTAAAATACTTATTAGTGATGATAGAACCACAAGCACTGTGCTTTAAAATATTGTGTAGGTTTTAAACATTTTGTTTGATTAGATTCAAATTCGCTTATTTATGAATCTGTAAAGAAAATCAAACCTGCTAATTATGTTATTCAAATTCTTCATATCCTTACCATTTTGGGTCTACCTAATATGAAAATTTTTGAAAATATATATAAGCATCACCATGTGGCTATGGTTTTGTTAAATTTTCTTTCTCCTTATAAGAATTTAGAAATGATGTTTTGTGTTATGTTATTTAATGCGTAAAAGACCCTGTTAGAATGTTACCAAATGGCTTGGTGCACAAAATTCCTGCACATTAAAAGGGGTTAATTAGAGGAAATAATTTAATATTGCTATTTGTCCTTTCTCTATAATAGAAGTGTCAGAGATGGAAGAAAATTAGTAAAATGTATATGAAAACCTTCCTCCTGTCAGAGTCTGGGGCACACCATATGACCCAGAGTCAAGTACCCCCATCCACATGAACCTCAAAATCACGTGAGACCCAGTCCTGGCCGCGTGCCCCCCCCACCCTGCCCCATTGGGCTAGATCCAGACCCAGCCAGTCCCACCCTTGTCAAGCCCCACTGAGAAGGGGGCATAGCCTCAGATCCTCTGGCCCTGTGCCAGGATGGGGAGCAGGGCCTGAGGTCCCCTAGCCCATGCAAGGGCAGTGGGCATGCCTTAAGGTCCCCCATCAAGCCCGGGTGGATGGATGGCATGGCCTGAGGTCCTCCATCAAGCCCTGCCAGGTGTGGAGGTGCAGCCTCAGGTCCCCCGTTAAGCCCTACTGGGTGGGGGGCACAGCCTGAGTTCCCCCAACCCAGCACTGGGGATGCACTTTGAGGTCCCCTGTCAAGTCCCACTGGGTGGGGGCAAAGCCTGAGGTTCCCTGTCAAGCCCAGCCAGGCAGGGGGGCACAGCCTCAGGTCCCCTGGGCCAGTGTTGGGGTGGGGGCATGGCCTGAGGACCCCTGCCCTGGTGCTGGGGTGGAGTGTGCGGCCTGAGGTCCCCTGTCAAGTCCCATGGGGGTGGGGGAGGGCATAGCCTCAGGTCCGATTGTTCATTAAGGCTCCTTATGGGAACTTGGCCTCAGCTGTGAGTGCAGCCATCTTTGTGACAGTGATGGTCAATTAGCATATTCCCTGTTTATTAGATAGGATATAAACACTTTTTCTTTATTTTTCCATGCAGGGCATCCATGCTAAAAAATTATTTTCACAACTTGCTGAAACCGGTTTGGCTCAGTGGTAGAGCATTGGTCTGCAGACTGAAAGGTCTCGGGTTTGACTCCAGTCAAGGGCATGTACCTTGTTTGCGGGCACATCCCCGATAGGGGGTGTGCAAGAGGCAACTGGTCAGTGTTTCTCTCTCATGGACGTTTCTAGCTCTCTATCTCTCTCCCTTCCTCTCTGTAAAAAATCAATAAAATATATTTAAAAAAAATTTTTTTTCACAACTCATTTGGCATGTCTTACTTTCATTGTGTTAGTACTACCTGGTAGAACTCAACATATTCTTTTTACTAGAGACCTGGTGCAGAAAATTTGTACATATGAGGGTGGAGGAGCCCTCAGCCTGGCAGAACCCTCTCCAATCTGGGACCCCTCAGGGGATGTCCAATTGCTGGTTTAGGCCTGATCCCTTCGCTGGCTCCTAACCACTCACCTGTCTGCCTGCCTGATGCCCCTAACAGCTCTCTCCCACCAGCCTGACTGACCCTAACCGCCTCTGCCTGCTGGCCTGATCACCCCTAACCACTCTGCCTGCCTGCCTGATTGCCGCTACAAGCCTCTGCCTCAGCCCTGCCACTGTGGCTTTGTCCAGAAGGACTTCCAGAAGACGCCTGATCTATCTGGTCTAATTAGCATATTATCCTTTTATTAGTATAGATTTCCAGTTTGTATATATTAGGGTTTGTTTTCTAAACAGAATACAACTAGATTTGCATTTTAATCCATGTTGGGAATACTTACTTTTATTAAATTACCTGTTAATAATAGGCTAATATAATTTATACTAAAATACCTCTGGGTTATTAAGAAAAGTAGTATATTTAGCCTAATTACTGACATTTTACTTTTCCTGATTATGACACATTTCTATTGTGCTTTTAGCCCTGCCTATTTTTTCTGTGTCTGAATCAAGTTTTGTTTTTGTTTTGTTTTTTCACTTTGTAGCCACTTAAAGCATTTCACAACTGATGAAGTTCTTTAGATATATGTTAAACTACCAGACTCACCAACTTTTGGTCTCTCTTATGCAGTTAATAGAAAACTAATCTAATTTATCTCCCTTTTTTGTCTAACCAAAAATGAGCATGCAATATTCTATATTGGGGATAATAACAGTAAATCGCCTTAAGACAATACCACTTTGGAATTTAATAATATGTGCCAGGAAAAGGGAGGACAAGTTAACTTCATATTTACTTAATTAGTAAGAAGTTAGTGCCATTTATCTTTCAAACAACTCTGCATCCTGAAAAAGACAAAGCTCTTACCATTTCTTTTGGAATCTGCATCCGGCTTGGCTCTGCATTCTAGAAGAATTGGGAAAAAAAACATAAATATAAGACTGACCAAAGCCATCTTTAACACACAGGGACATAAAGCTTTAGTTGAAAGAAAATTATGGCTTCTAAAATCCACAAAACAGAGTATGTTTATATTTTGGTTGATGTATTACACTGTCTTCCAAACTTTCACTGCGATGCTTATGTTATCTTCTGGGGGAAGGGGGTTAAGAAATTTTTCTAGATGTATGTTTTTAATCACTCATTCACAGTACATCATCAATTTAATACAGAAAGAAAAACAAATCTCAACAAAGAGCTTTTCTATTCATAGCACTATTTCTAATTTATTTTTAATTTTTCCAACTAAATATATTATAAGTTATATAACTTGATAGCTAGACCAGGTAATGACAGTGTGAACCTAAAGCATTGTACTTAAAAATATTACAAAGATTTTAAATGTGATTTATTTCATATATTATAGATTTAATTACAGTTACAAGGTTGATTAATTTAAAATCTACATATTGATAAAAGTATTTCATTGTAGACACAGAATTTATACACAGACACCCCAAACCAATGAAGAGTTTGGTCATTGGATTAAAAGACCATTTTATGCCCTCTTTAAGTTTTTAGAATTTTATTCTTTTAAATCATGACAAGCAGATGCAAAATTAGTAACAGACTGACAGCCTACTGGCTCACTCCTTAATGAAACACTCAAAGGCAATAAATTAAATAACCAAGAAAAAAAAAAAAGTAGGTAGCAGAAGGGGAAAACAGAAGCCTGTAATATCAAAATTGGACAAGAAGAACCTAAATAACCTTAAGCTGACTGTATGTTGGCACTAACTCTGGAAAGGCTGCTTAAGAGCGTGTGCAAGCTTTGGCAATCTAATAATGCTATTACCCAAAATCTCATACTGAGGAAAAATTAAAGCTTCATCAAAACATATCTAAATCTTAGTTTTGCTTTAAATGCAAATTTACAACTTAATAAAGACATCTCCAAATTTAGGATCAGGTGGCATTTTAAGCACAAAACTGGATAACAGTGTGGAGGAAAGAGTAATGCATTAAACATTTTAAAATAGAAATTATTCAAAATCTACTTAAAACAAAAGTGCTCACTTTTCATTTTTATCAAAATCTGAAATTTCTACAAAATCACAAAAAATTGGATCTATTAGTAACCATGAGATCAGATATTCTTATAACTAAAATTTATCTGACACAATTTTATTCACCATGACACATCCATACTTGAAGTATCAGCTTAAGAGATTTAGGGCTATAAAACAAATTAGGACCTGTGCCCCTAAAACCTTGCCGCTTTAATATATATGAACTGTTTTATAGATAAAGCTATAAAGCTAGCAGAAAGAGACGTCAAATGTTGTAAAATGACCCAGCTCGAATATTTTTGAAATATTTAAAATACCATTTGTACTTGAAGTAAAACAATTCTCACCACATCAAAAGAGAAAGTTGATTCCTCAAATTACATTGTTTTCATATATAAACTAGAGGCCCAGTGCATGCATTCATGTACAGATGGGTGCCAGCCTGCCAGCCCTGCCCAGTTGGGGCAGATCGGGGCTGGACCTATAGGGATCAGGAGTTGGAGGGAGGTTGGCCAGCTGGCTGGCCCCAATCTGGGCCCAATCAGGGCTGGGCCAGCTGCAGGTGATTGGCTGGCTGCCCTGCCACTGATTGGGGTTAGAGGGCTAAATGGGGGTGGGGCCGGCCATGGGGAGGGGCTATAGGCCGGCCAGTGCCATTCCCCAATGGGATTGGGTGTGCTGATCAGTGGCCAGCGACCTGAGGGAGGGGCTATGAGAGGTTGGTCAGCTGGCCCTACCCCTGAGTGTGGTGGGGCTAGGTAAGGAGAGGGGCTTTAGGAGATTGGCCAGCCGGCTCACTCCTATTTGGGTGGGGATGTGATCAGGGATGAGGTGGTCAGGGGGAGAGGCTGTAGGAGGTTGGCTGCCCAGCCCTGCCCTCTATTGGGGTGGGGGTGCGATCAGGGGCTGGCAGGTGGGAAAGGGGCTGTGGGCCTATCATGGTGGGGCAGGCTGATGAGGGTGGGGCTGGGAGGGTAGGGAGGGGACAATTGGCCCATCCCACTCTTGATTGTGTTGGGAGAGTCCAATCACGGGCAGGACGGCAGGGGGGAAGGGCCACAAGTTTTGCTGGCCACCAGCACCCCTGATCGGGCTGGTTCGCTGGCCACAGTGGTCATCATAACAACAGGTTGTTATGGCCATTATGATAGCTGGCTTCTTATATTTTATCTAATGAAGAGAGAATATGCTAATTGAACCTCATGCCATCGCAAAGATGGCAGCACCCTCAGCCAATAAGGAGGGAAAATGCTAATTGACTGCCCCACCATCAAAGACAGTGGTGCCCACCGCCACAAGATTTTGCACCCAGTCCCTTCAGCCATGCCTGCCCCCAGAGTCACCCAGTCACCTCAGCCCCCCAAACCCTCCGGGCCAGCCTGAGAACCAGACAAACCTTGGATGATGGCTACCTAGCGGCCCTGGGCCACCCGAGGCTCAGGTACCAAGGCCATCAAGGCTTGCACTGCCGCAGTAGAAGCAGCAGAGGTGTGATGGGATGTCTAATTGCCGGGTCACCTCCCGCCTCTGAGGGCTTCCGGACAGGAGGGGCAGGTGAGCGAGGGACCACCCCTCTCCAGTGCATACATTTTCATGCACTAGGCCTCTAGTATATAGAAAAACACTTAGAATTATGTTAACTTAATATACATATTTCCTTTTCACCAGTACTACATAAATACCCTTATCTAATTAATATTTAGATGTGTTGATGTATGCATACAATTGAAACAGGCCCTAATCGGTTTGGCTCAGTGGATAGAGCGTTGGCCTGCGGACTGAAAGTTCCCAGGTTCGATTTCAGCCAAAGGCATGTACCTTGGTTGCAGACACATCCACAGTAGTAGGCATGCAGGAGGCAGCTGATTGATGTTTCTCTCTCATCAAAGTTTTTAACTCTCTATTCCTCTCCCTTCCTCTCTTTATAAAAACCAATAAAATATATATTCTTTAAAAAGTGAAAGTTTGCAACAAAAAAAAATGTTTTTTTCATTTGATTTATGTTATTTGCAATAATGTTTATGTTAGTAACTAATGGTCATGGGCTTACTGACACTCAAGTCTTTTTATTTGCAATAACAATATTTTAAAGGTATCCCATTTCATTAAAGAAGCAAGCATCTTTATTTATTTGGCTACATGGTCCATGAGAATCTGAAATCTGAAGGTTTGTCATAGGTAGTAGAGAACACAGCAAGATTTCACCAAGAGACTTTGAAGTGAGACAGTAATGTAATAATCAACATCCCTGTATTCAATAGGCCATCTGAAATCATTCAGTAATTAATAAACATTTGCTGTCCTAGAAAATATCCCTGCAATCTTATTTTTAAATAACCCTCCATTCAACATTGTAGACATCTATTCCTAAACGTGAAGAAATTTGAGAAAAGAATGCCTGTATTAAGTTAAGGTTGAAAGACATACAGAATACAGAAACTGCTTGGAAAATATCCCAATAAACATAGGGTAGGTGGTAGCCCAGAACACCCCTGGCTCAAGTGCAAGAGAAATCTTTCATGTGCTCCAAGGTTACACACCAGTTCCCGTGGGTGGAAGGCATCTTCTTGGCGAAAGACCAGAAGGCTCACTGTCCCTTCCATCTTGGTGCTTCTCAACAGGGAAACAACTTCCTCTTGGGATTTGCCTGCTAAATCTACTCCATTTACCTAAAACAAACAAAAAGTTTTCAGCTGCAATCCTATGCAAACAGATAACAGAAGAAAAGACACACATTGTAGAACAGATTATATCTGCTATAAAATATAACTCATTCCATGGTAAAATTCTGCATAATTTGGTAACTACCAGGCTGTTGTGCTTTAAAAAAAAAAAAAAAAAAAAAATTGCAGGAAAGTTTTCTAGAAGTGAGACATGAAGTAGTAAATATTTCAGTGCTTATCAATAAATCAAAAGCTACAGCCACCAGAGCATTAACAAGTAACAAGTAATAAACAAATAATATAACATGTCAAATTAACACAAAACTTCCTGGCTGTGAACTGAGATATCTTGATGGCCTGGGCAGCTTAGGCTGTTTTACACCAAAATAAAAAGTTGTATCTTTTATAGGTGGTAGTAAAAACAAACTAAAAAATATTTTAATTTTCAAAGAAATTCTACTAACAATTATGAAGATAAACTTTTTCGACTCTAAAAGGCTAGCATTAAAGAATAATCTCCACAAAATAATCCTGGGGATTATTTTGGAGGAATAGCAATATTTCACCTCAATATACTTCAATGTTTTAAAAAAAATTCTACCAAAACAAAAGATTTAAAACAACCAAGTCTTGAGAATTGCATCATTTTTATTTTGTAGAAAGTATAACAACATTATCGGAAAGCACTATATATTTAACAGAAATGAGAGTGGAATTAGATTTAAAATATGTGAAATGTAGTTTTAACTTTAAGAGAAAGCTAATAGCTATAAAAAAATAAAACCTAATTCAGAAAAAATGCAGGTTGCAAGCCCTTCCCATTGCTAAAAATAAAATAAAAAAATTGTCTTTGTGATGTGTTTTAAACAGTAGAGCAATTATGTGACGAAAGAGAGACTCAAAAATAAAATAAGGAAGAAAGAAGGTTACACGGGGACAAATTCAGGGATAGGAAGAAGTCTGGGAAAAAAGGACATTTTTCTGGGGGGAAGAGAGGACTTAGAGGCAAAGATTCAAGTCCCAGTTGAGACATTTACTAAATAAAAAAAACTACAAATACCGACTAAAAATAATAATCTAGTTGACCCTTCAACAACATGGGTTTAAACTACACAGGCCCACTTATACACAGATATTTTTTCAACAAATAAGTACAGTGCTATTAATGTATTTTCAATTCCTTATGATTTTCTTACTAACATTTTATTTAGTTTACTTTATTGTAAGAATACATTATATAATGCATATAATGTGAAATATATGTTAATCAATTATTTATGCTATTGGTAAGGCTCTGATCAACTGTAGAAAACCAGTAGGTGTGAGTTTATGGGGAATCAAAGTTATACTAAATGGTTATGAAATGGATACAGACAGTAAGGGGGTGAGGGCATGTGCTGGAGGTTGGAAATGTGAATGGGGGAAAAGGAGACATACGTAATACTTTAAACAATAAGAAATTTAAATTTAAAAAAAGTTATACTAGATTTTCAAATGCACGGGTGTCAGTGTTGTGCAATGATCAATTCTCACAATTTATATACCAAGGACAAGGGGTCCCTTTTATAAACAACACCTTAAGTATAATTTGTACTCAAACATTTCCTTTTATTCAGCCTCTTCTATCAGTGTCTGTTTAAAATATAGTGCCATATGAAATGAGAAAAAAAGAATAAGAGCTTAAGATTTAAGTAATCTAGGTATAAAATGTAAGCATGAAAAAAATCAAGAAATGTTTAGGACAGTTAACTATGGAAAGTTCAAATGATCCAATGATTCCTCTTCTGACAATTTATCTGAAGAAATCCAAGACACTGATTTGAAAGAATATATGCACCCCTATGTTCATTGCAGCATTATTTAAAAGAGCCAAGAATTGGAAATAGTCCCAAAAATCCATCAGTAGATGGATTGTCTGTATTAATCCACTTATTTTCTAAGTGGATTAGAAAAACACACTGTGGTACATTTACACAATGAAATACTATTCTGCTGTAAAAAGGATGAAAATGTTATCCTTTGTGACAGCATTGATGAACCTGGAGAGCATTATTAAGTGAAATAATCCAATCAGTGAAAGACAAGCACCATATGATTTCACTCATATGTGGCATTTAATGAACAAACTGAACTGCCAAGAAAAATAGAAACAGAATCACAGACAGAGAGCGTAGACAGCTGTAGTGGGAGGGGAAAGCAGGGGGAGGGATTGGGGAAAAAATGAGAGAGAACTCATGGACATCATGGACAACAGTGTGGTGATTGCTGGGGTGAAGGGGGATGGATAGGTAGAGGTGGTAAAGGGTATATAGGAGATAAAAGATGATGGAAAAATAAAGTTAAATTTAAAAATGTATAAAAATACAGGAAAAAGGGTAATATAAAAACATTGGAATTTGAATACTATTTAATATCTTGTGTTAAGAATATAAAGTATGTTTTCTGAAGAAAACAGTAAGAAAAAATAGCAAATAAAGTATATTTTACTCACTGTTAATCCCTTTATTTCCATATGCACAAACACACATAAATATACAGAATTTCTGTTTATGTGAAAATCAAAAACATTTCCAAAGACCCATGAACCAAAACTCATGAGGCACAGAAAGGAAATTTTGAAAACTGTTTTCTTTTTCTTCTGACATTTGATTATTATGTCTCAATTCATTTTCCATGCTGCCATTTAAAAACTTCCTGTTTCTCTCATTAAAATACACTTTCATTTACTTCAATTGTCTCTTTTCTGATTACAAACTAGATAGCATTTCTATATTGCCAGACATAAATTTAAAGCCATCTAGAATATAATATCATAGGCATTGAACTTAAATAATGTCAAAATGTCATTATGGTATTATACTTCAGAAAACAAATGTCTGGGTTACTAAAACTGAGTACTCTAAATGAAAAATGTATTATATTTCTTATCAAATAACATGGGACAACAGAAAAGTAAAGCAGAAATGTATTTTTTCGTGATGCATACTTCTGCTAAAATATGTTTCATATTTTATAAAAATATTTTTAAAAAGTAACTTCCAAGAGTTATGGAACTTCTGAGTTGGAAGCCTCTCACCTCCACCAGGCGGTCTCCTGCCTTCAGCCTCCCATCTTGGATGGCAGCCCCCCTGGGGAGGATGTTTTTCACATAAATGGGCGCTGAGCCACCTATCGTTACATCTCTGGAAGTGATGCTGAATCCCAAACCTTCTGTACCTAAATATATAGCAGAAAATGAAAGCAAATAAAATGAGGTTTGTCAAAGTTTACAAGTATATTATACATTTTAAAAAATTGTTATTATTCTCTATACCAACTTAACATTTTATAACTTTCACAATGGCCTACATGTCTTCTAGTATTTTAAAAGTTGCAACAGATTTTTCAAAATAGACTAAATTCTGAATGGTTTAAATGCGTTGCATATCAAAATTCATTATTTTGCGAAAAAAATGGAATCTATCTAAAGACAGTCTAAAGATAATATACATATATAGAAATATGGTTGCTATAGTTTTTAAATTGGTCTAAACCTTTGATTATGAAAATTAATTTAATTTCTCTATGACACAAAACAAAATTTGTTAAAATACACAGTACCTCCAATAGCAAGTATAATTGTGGAATAATGGTATCTACATTTGACAAGTAGGAAGGTGGAGAGGAAGAGAAATGTTCAGGGAGATTAAAAAGAAATAAAGAGAACTTTTTCTAGATACAGATAACAGAATCTCTCCAAACTATAATTAGTCACAGCAATTTGCCAACAGAATGAAACCATTATAATTGCCTCGTTCTCTTCTAACTCACCTAAATCTGACCATGTACATATGGGGGGGAAAAAACAACCAAGGCAAAAATACCCAGTGAAGAACCCATCACAGATCATAGATGGCAGGTCTGAAAATCAACATATCATATTTAAAGGTACTAAACTTAATGAATCATTTAAGAATTACTATGCTGCTTTGTATAATTTCAATTGAAAGTCACTTGGCAGCTTTCTTGACAGACATTCTTATAAGCTCAATACAATGTAGAAGGTGCTTATGTATCACTGGAACCAATATGCAATAGGTCAGAATAAGCCTAGAAAAAAATGTGAAGATTAAAAATTTCTAATGAATCAAAGAACTTCTATAACATTTTAATAATGACTAATTTCTACTAGAAGTTTTAAAAAAGTTAAACTTAAGATATTAGGTTGCATTTCAGTTAAAATGATATTCGAACACATACTTGCTCATTTCAGAATGAATAGATGATGTATAAAGGCAAAAAATTTATAACATTCATTCATTTGATTCAGCACTCTGTATAAACTATGAGGAACAGAATATATACTATAAGTAAACAAACAAATATGGGCAAATAAATACCAATGAAAAAGTGAGTTAAAGAAGAAATATAAAGTAGAAATGAAGAAAATATCAAATAATTATACCTGCATCACAACCTACCGTAAATATTTTCAAGTTCAAACAAAGCATTCATTTACTGTAAATCTAAAGTCACTTTAAATATGCCTAGACTATTTATTTCTTAAATCTTCTGTGCTGAAGACTTGAATGGCACATTGTCTTTATGAAATTTTCCTAATTATTCTGCTGGGACTTTTCCATATGTCTCTGTGCTTTCATGAAACTCAAATGACTTGGAATAACATTTATTAAGAAAAAATTCTAAATTATTCTCCTTTTGCAATATTAATTTAAATGAATTATAAAGGCTGATTAAACCTTAATACTACTAAAATGTTAGCAATAACCTCTAAATCAGTAAGCTCAAAGTTCAAGCAATGACCTTTAAAAGAAAGATAGATAGGTCACAATTTTCATTTATCAAAGCCAACAAAATATTTTGCACTGACTGAAACAGATTATTGATCTTCCCTTCTGACTTTATTAAAAAGCTAATTTCTACAAAAGAGCAGGGTATTTGAGAATGGCAATAAATATTAAGAAATCATAATTATGGAAGAAAGTACATAGGGCTACTCTATTTTGTGATGTTATATGGCATAATTCCAAAATTATGACAAAGAATTATCATAATGAAGGCTTCTTTTTTTAAGTACTTAAAACTGATCTCAGCTTATAAAGAGCTTCTGTCAAAGCATGTTCGGTTAAATAGAATTGAATTTAAAGTTTAACACTGACATACCCTAAGTATCTTATGTACTTCTTTAAAAATGTTAAACGTCTTCTAGCTGGTTTGTCCCAGTGGATAGAGTGTCAACCTATGTACCGAAGGGTCCCTGGTTCAATTCCTGTAAAGGTCATGTACTTGGGTTAGGGGCTTCTCCCCAGCAAAAGCCCTGGTCAGGGCACATGCAGAAGGCAACCAATCAATATGTTTCTCTCACATTAATATTTCTCTTTGTCTTTCCCTGTGTCTTGCACTCTCTCTAAAAATCAATGGAAAATATCCTGGGAGGATTAAAAAATAAATTAATTAAAATGTTAAATGTAACATAATTGGTAAAAACACCTATTAATTACAATGAAAGCTTGTTCAACTCCCATGCAATTATTATTTAAGTAGATGTATTTAGTATTAATCAAAGACAATCAGCATTCTTCACTCTTATTTACAGTAAACTATTTTTATGTAAAATATTTGTAAGTATTGGCAGGAATCCATAGGCAGTTCCAACCTTTTGTCATGTATTTTCACAGTAAATTAAAATCATGGTAGATCTATGAAGCTCTCTAATATTTATATTACTCAAGATGAGCAAAATATTTTTTAAATATCAATGTTTCTATTTTTCTTAGGTTGATAGAGCACATTATTTGTAAATTAACTTGTATAAAATATAACCATAGCTTTTAAAATGCTCTTAAAATAAAAGTTTATTCAAAAATGATTCTTTTAATAGCAAATAACATTTCACTTTATTTAAAAAGTTCATATATCATGAACTGCTAAAATATAAGAATTGTGTCAAAAACTGTAATTAATTAAATAAGTATGCCTGTAACAGTGTAAAAAGATAATGATATTTGTGACCAATATCTATATGACAATGACTAGGTAAAATGTTTTTCTTTTGTTGAGAGATCCCAAGCAGAATTTTATCTTTTTTATAACTCTATTTGTGCTTCTTGTTTTTGCTTAAAAATTAGGGCCTGACATTTTAGTACAGAAACAGGAAAAGGATCTGCCATTTCTCATTTAGGAGTTAATAGAGCTAAAAGAGGTTTATGCTGTTATGATTCTGTTTGTAATGTGTTTCAAAAGTGGAATAAAGCTGTCAGTTCCTAATCATGTCAACTAAGTAGTTGGAGCTTAAAAGTCAATTACCAGAAATAAGGAATCTGTGGTTCACATAAACCTCAATGAAAGAACATGACTTAGAAAGTAAATAGGAATCTCAAAGCTTACAACCTTGTAAACCTTAGCCCAGATGGAAAGAAAATTGGCTAAATGTTAAGATATGGAATGTTCTAACAGGAAATTAATGCCAGCAACAGGCAGGTGATGTCAGATAATTTGCTCAACTTTCTCTGCAAGTTCATTTCCATCTAATTATAGGAATTGGTTGGGCTCACAAAAATAAAAGTATCTATATATATAATCTATAGATATAAAAGGGTAATATGCAAAGTGTCTCCTCTGGAGTTTGACCAGTTAGTTTGATTGCTTGCTATGACATGTGCTGACCACCAGGGGGCGGCATGGAATGAAGGAAGGCCCTACCTGGCTGCTGGAAGGCCCAATAGGTCCTGATTGCCAGCCAGGCCTAGAGACCTTATCCGTGCACGAATTTCATGCACCAGGCCTCTAGTTCTTACAATAATACCATTTTTAAAGACATAATTTAAAAACATATCAAAATGATGTTAAAATTGATGACTGATAGTGAAAATATATCTCAATGCCTGGAGAGGACAGCAATTGGAAATCAGAAATTCTAGTATATGCTTTAAATCATAGATCCTGTATACAAGGATCCATGGTCTATAGGACAGGGATACTTAAAGAAATAAGTTGACATAACATAGATATAATAAATATTTAGCAAGGCCCATTATAATCTTCCTGTCTCCTTAAGAAATGGAAGCAGTGTAATATGCTGGAACAATGAACTAGTTTCTCCTCATTCAACCACAAGCAATTGACAGTGTCAAAGGAATCAATCACTTCCAATAACCAAAATGGTAGGGTTGAAATGGAGGACATTTCTAAAGTCCACATCAAGAGGGATGATCAAAACAGTGAAATCCTCATGTTTTGGGTTTGAATATAACATCCTGAAATCATTTTCCTTCATTGTTAAAAATTTTACTACAGTAGTAACTGATACTTTCAAATGAAACTTATTTTTTAGTCTTATTCTCTGATCATTTGAATTTTTATATAGCCAAATTAATCTGAGAAGCATAAAAATACATTTTAAGTACTTTTTAAAAAAATCATTACATTACTTCTTTCACATAATGGAATAAAACATAGGGTGTTTTTGGATTAGTTGGTTTAGTTTTAGAATAAATTCAAGTTAGTTTTATAATAAACTCAAAACAAGTTAGGTTGTACCTTTCTTAAGCTGGATAGTCAGTCTCTTGCCTATTTTTTTGGTGTTATAACCACTGCTTACACTTGTTCCAAATACACTTTGTGGTGCTGGAGCTGGAGCTGCCGGTGGCTTTCCCACAGGCTGTGTACTCTGAGGTAGTCGTGAGTGTGAGTCCATCTGCTCCGCCTGGTGGGTCGATCGGGGTGCTCTCTGCGGTGCCTGAAACCCGGCACTGTTCACACTCCTATTATCAATATACTGGCTGTCAGGGCTGAAGCGGCCTGAATAGTCATTGTTCTTCTCACTTTGGGAGAGTTGTTCATACTGCTCTTTATTTGCTGCAGGAACCACATGGAACCAAATGATGGGTGTTCGCATGGCCTGTCGAAACATATGCTGTGCTCTGGGTTTGAGAATGAATAGAAAATTAGCAAATTAAGACTTGCAGACAAAAGACATTATGAGCTTAATTAAGTATACTAATTAAGCAACAAGAAATGATATAGTTTGCTGAGACTGAAAACCAAAATTTTGATATCCCATTTATCAATCAAATTTTCAAGCTCTGATAAAAGCATAGCTGTTTCTCCAAATTTTAATTTCTCATCCTCTAAATAAAAAGGAGAAAATCATCATAACTACAGATAAAATACTGTGCTCTAAACTATAAATCATTAAATAATATAGTTTTAAGTACAATAGAGGCATTATAATTTTAATATTAATAGAAATTAAATACAATCTCCTCTCTACAACTCCAATACCACTTTTAAAAAATTATAGCCCAGCCCTGGATGGTTTAGTTCAGTGGATAGAGCATTGGCCTTCGGACTCAGAGGCCCCAGATTTGATTCTGGTCATGGGCATGTACCTTGGTTGCGTGCACATCCCCAGTAAGGGGTATGCAGGAGGCTGCTAATCAATGTTTCTCTCTTTTCAATGTTTGTAACTCTCTGTCTCTCTCCCTTTCTCTCTGTAAAAAAAAATCAATAAAAAATATATTTTTAAAAATTATAGCCCAGATGGTATTGCTCAGTGGTTGTGGGTGGACTTATGAACCAGGAAATCATGGTTTGATTCCCAGTCAGGACACATGCCCAGTTTGCCAGCTCGGTTCTCAGTGTGGGGCATGAAGGAGACAGCCGATCAATGATTCTCACTCATAATTGATGTTTCTCTATCTCTTTATCTTTCCCTTTCCCTTAAATTAATAAAAATATACTTACATACACACACACACACACACACACACACACACACACAAATTTCTAAATTATTTCCTTATAGGGAATCATTTAAGCTTTTAAAGAAATAAAAATACTTAGAAATATACTTACAAAACAATAGAAAGCACATTATGTATCAGCAAAATTAATCCAAGTCTGTGTATGCAAAAACTTTAAGAACACCAATAAGCCTCCATGATTCAGAATGCTAGGAGTCACTGACCCCGTGCTACTCCATGACCAGTCCAGGAATTGCACTGCCTCATACTAATTGCAAAGTCCTTATGATTTCTGCTCACTCCTTCCGATTTACAAAAACTGATCAACTTTATCTTTGTATAAATGATCAGGATAAGAAAATCTGGACAAACCATTCATTGTGGTTCTAAGAACCTTTGCTTATTTGTCCTGAGAGACATTATATATATATAAGACAAAGTTGGAAATGTGAGTTAAAACAAACTGGTATCCTGGTAAATTTTCCAAAAGGTGAGAATACCAAAACTGTAAAGCCTAAATTGGGGCCATAATAATTTAAGAAATATTCTACCAATCAGAGGACATTTTATATTTTTTAAATATATTTTTATATTTATTGATTTCAGAGAGGAAGGGAGAGGAAGAGAGAGATAGAAACATCAATGATGACAGAGAATCACCAATTGGCTGCCTCCTATGTGCCCCGCTCTGGGCATCAAGCCCACAACCCACTCATGTGCCCTTGACCTGAATCAAAACAGGGACCCTTCAGTCCGCAGGCTGATGCTCTATCCACTGGGCATAACTGCCAGGGCCAGAGGGCATTTTAAAATACAGTCTGATGGTAGTAATTAGCTCCAATTTGATTAAATGTTTAAAAGTTACATAAACCAGCCAAAACTGGTTTGGCTCAGTGGTAGAACATCGGTCTGCGGACTGAAAGGTCCAAGGTTCGATTCCGGTCAAGGACGTGTACACTGGTTGCAGGCACATCCCTGGTAGGGGGTGTGCAATAGGCAGCTGGTCGATGTTTCTCTCTCATCGACGTTTCTAGCTCTCTATCTCTCTCCCTTCCTCTCTGTAAAAAAATCAATAAAATATATATATATATATTTTTTAAAAGTTACATAAACCAGAAAATACTTCTCTCATACAAGGACAGAGATCCCAGATTTGGTGTGGGAAGAATTTCGATGACTGCACTCTATCATGCCTAACGAAAGGAAGCACTGCAATGTCTCCAGCGCACACTTACTGTTCAAATCTTCTGTTTCGAAGGTCGCCATCATTAATCCTGACAATGCAATCATTCTCATGAAAAAGGTTTTCTTGTTCAGCTTTACCACCTTTCTCCAATCGTTTTACTAATAACCCCAGGGTTCTGGAACATTAAGAATGCATATCATTACACACATAATATTTTGATCATGTACAATGTCCCACTGCTTTAATGCTGGTATTATAGTTATAGAGACTTCCTAATAAAGGGGCACATTAAATTGCTATTTTAAACAGCATTGCAGAAAAAGTTAAATAGTATAAATGATGTGTAGAAAAGAATCCTTTCAAAAAATATAACAAATCATTTCTGGTTGGTTAGTATTGTGTTTCTGGAACAAACTGTATACTTCTCTCTATGCTTAAAAATGCTTTAAACAGAGCTAGCCTGATGGCTCAGTGGATATGGCAGTGTGGGTTATGGATGAGCATGCATTTGTACATAAGTTTGTCGGTTTTCTGTTTTCCACCAGCTGGTACACTGCTAATGGCAACCTCCATCTTACCATGAAAGTAAAAGGAGGGAGGAAAGACTACTTGAGCACATTATACGTTTGAGAAGGAAAATATAAAAGAATTAAAAATAGAAGACATTCCATTCCTGGCTTCTGAATTTGATCTGACCTAATATTCTGAATTTCAAAACTTGTTAGATCTCCCTGTAGTAACTTGTTGTCATTATTCCTATGGAGGAAAACAAGTAACATTTTAAAAATAATGCCACATACTCATCTCTTTAATGTATATTCAAACTTCAGGTTGAAAGAAAAGCCTGAATAAACTTTTAGAGACTAATGTGAAGGGGAGAAAGGTAAAAATTCCTATTGTACATAATCTAGAACAGTGTTTCCCAAAGTGTGGTACGCGTACCCCCCGAGTTTGGTGGGGGTACGTGTTGCACTGAAGTTTGGTGGGGATATGCACTGCACCATGCTTAGCTGCATCTAATTCTATGTTCTCATGAGTACGAGGGGTACTCAGCGTTATGAAAATTATAGAAGGGGTACACATATGTCAAAAGTTTGGGAAACACTGCTCTAGAACATGAACTATTTGACTGACAAGGAAGGACATTATTCATTCCCCAGAGCAAACAGTAAAACTTTATAGGACACAATATAAGAAATATGAATTTTTACTTAGTTCTAGTGCTGTGACTTACTTGATGGATAGTATAAATTCTATATCAGAATCATGTTAAAATTTTTATGAACTTATTTTCGGCCTCTCCAAAGTTTGTGTTTTATTTTATAACCCTATCATTTAGAGAAAAAAATGCCCAGATTGATAATACAATTTAGAATCCTGCATAAATTAAAGTTGAAGATACTATCATTTCCAATAGCTTATATAAATATTTTCCAATAACATACAATTTGAAGTACCCTACATATATTTCCAGTAGAGCTATACCCAAAGAGTTTCTTCTTTTACAGTAAGTGTTGTTATCTGTTCTGTGGCCATTCATCTTACTCCTCTGTTATTGTTACTGATAGATATGCTTTCTCTCTGCTATTGCACCGTAAGCTCTTGGAAGATGGAGAAGATGGGCTTCAATAATATGTGCTCAGGCACTTAACTAGTAGTAAGTGGTAAGTGACAATGGAATGAATGGGTGACTGAGAGTAGCTGAGGCAAACAAGTCTCATATTTCTAATTAGCTTTTGCAAAATAGAATACAAATGAAATGAAACTGAAACTCAGATCTTTTCCTTGGTGAAGGTGTCATTTACACCAAATCTATAATTGAACTGAAAGAAATTAAGTTGTAGCAAAGGTTCTTCTTCAATTATTTTGCAATTTAATTTTGTTTCTTTCATGAATATTTACAGTCATCATTTACCTTCATTCTAAATTTTATTATTAAATATAGTAAGGAAGCATTGTGTTTTATTAGGCCAAGTCTAACAACTAGCAAGAAAAACAAGAGAAGATAACATTTAAATTGCCTACTGCAACTTTACCATTTGAGGATTAGCATCTACTAGTGTAAGAGTCTAAAAATATAGTGAATGATATAAGTAATTTTTATTGCTTACTACCATATATTGGAAATAAATCAATATAAAAATTCTCTGAACTCAAGGTAAGAATAAAGCATACTGACATAGCTGCATGAGCAACTTAACAGACTGAATCTGTATTTGGAAGAAAAGAGATTTCATAATATGCCACACCAATGATGAAGTTATTGTTAAAATATCATCATACCTAAAGTCTACCTCCTTTTGCTTCCCTATTGTTTAAGTTATTTCTACGTCCAATTGAACAGTGTTCTAGAAGAAGAATCAAGTTAAGACATATCTATGATTCTGTTGAATGGGACAAAATAATTTGAGAAATCATATTAAATCTCAGTTACTGATACTAGTGGAACAAGTAAAGACATTTAGCTGCTTTACCTTCAAAGGAAAATGTGACTAAATGACCCAAAAGCCATCGTGACATAATTGCAAATGTGGTGCCACACCTGCTGCTACAAGCTGCTTCTACAGACTGAGACTACTTAAACAATAAATAAAAATACAGCACTGGCAGGTGGCTCAATTGGTTGAAGTGTCCCATAAGGATGCAGGTTCCATTCCCAGTCAGGGCCGGTTCAATCCCAGGATAGGGAACATGCAGGAAGCAAACTGATTGATGTTTCACATCAATATTTATCCCTTTCACTCTCTCGCCCTTCCTTTCTCCCTAAATATCAATAAAAACATATCCCCATCTGAGGATTAAAAAAAAGCCCCACAAAACAAAACATAGTTTCTGCAGTAAAAATATATGCTACCAAGAGTAATCCAGTTAGTTTTTATCAGTGAAATCATAATTACAGCCTAAATTGAGTAATAATGTTTTGATATAGTCTAAAATAGTTGGTGTGTTTCAAAAGATCCACAGAATATTTTTTTAAAAATATATAGACTATGTTTAACAGAAATTACTTAGCAGATAACACTGATAATTTAAGTTTATAAATGTATCTCTAATAGTATTAATTCAGTATTTATGACATATAAAATAATATAACTTAGAAATCTATAATTTAACTCTATAGGTAGCATCAATATTTTTCAGATGAACAGGTCTATGGATTTATATTCATTTAAATAATTATTTTTCTTTTAAATTTTACTTTTTTCTTTCTGGGAATCACTCTAGATGATAATCTAAAGTAAAAAGGCATGGCATTCTTCATTTATGGCCAAATACTACAAATAATAAACTACCACACTTACATAAAATATAACTGAGGTTTACTAAATGAAGCTTTAGAATTCAAAGTTGTTAAAATAGTCACAAAATATCAGAATCCTATTTCTCAGCAGGTAAGAGATAAGAGAACAGATGGGTGGAGTTAGTCAGCAGAGGAAGATTTTCACCCTGACTGACATGGCAAGTAATCAGGGAATGAAAGAACAGACTGAATTCAGAAGTTATTATAGTAGCCTTCTGATTTCTAAGTACTTGACCATACTATTAGAATCATTCTCTGAAAAAGAATGAATTCAGTTAAAAGGAAAGTAGCACAATCTGCAAAATTATCTTGTTAGCTTCACTAGGTGAAAATGGCTACAAAGCAATGAGAATGACCTATCAAAAAACTTCATAAGAAAATTAAACTGATAACATAACAGCTAGACTGAGAATGAAAAGTACTTTCTGAAGGGAAATCAACGGGAAGCAATAACAGATGCTTCCATCTTCCTGGAAAATGTGTGTGTCCAAGCAGATATATTTCTATTCCTCCCACATTCAATTTAAAGGAATCTCAAATAGTATATATAATTAAAACAATTAAAGTATTTATCTTGCAAATTCAACCATCAATTAGAACTTGACCTGAAGTAATAAAGAATTGACTACCTCTGGTATTGTGGTTCCTAAAACACTTTTAGTAAAGAAAATAACTGAAGGTAATGAACTTCAAAACATTTTGGGATGTCAATATGCTGGAACAGAGAATAGTTTTTCACCTTGGTGATTACCAGGATTCCTCATTAAGAGCAACCATTTTCCATCAAAAGAAACCACTTTGCAAAAAATAAGAGAAAGAGAGGGAAATGAGGAGCTGGACAAACTTTGTTTGGGGGAAATAGTACAGGAACAGAAACAACCACCCAGATAGAAAGAAGACTTGGTGTACTGGATACTGGAACAGCAGAATTATGAAGATGTGGCTACAGGATTATGGGGTGTATGATACACAATCTCCTTGACCTCCCATATGAATCTAATATAAACCCAACATAGCACATATGATTTTTGAGCAAATAAATATTTTTTCTTATAAATCTGAAACATTCCCAAACACAGTCTTTTTCTACTGCTTCTTATTAATCTTTTTCAAAATCGTGTGTATGTAGGGGGAGGGGGGAGGGTAGCGGGAGGGAGAATACTACATCCACGGTGAGTGTGTGTGTGTGTGTGTGTGTGTGTGTGTGTGTTACTATATCCACAAATCTCACTTTTGAATAAATTTATTTTAAAAAACGCAAATGAAATAGGAATTTTTTAGGGATGAAATAGGCAGGTTTAGGGAACTTCTAAAAATTAAAAGGGAACATAGAAAAAGCACATTCTATTAAGCTGCAAAAAGTTACATTTGCATAAGACAAGGGAAAGGCAGAAGTTATATTTCCATAAAATAAGGGAACTGGGAATAACCAAAGATCTAAATTTAAAAAAAAAATGAAGAAGGGCCTCATATCCTTTGTGCAGTTTGACCTTTAAGCACAGGAGTTTCTATATTAATCAAGTCAAAGGGGAAGAGTGGCCAATCAGAGAGGATATCGAGGCATAAAAACTGCAGCCTTTATAAACCGGGATAAAGGAACTCAGTGGGACTCTTTCCCTCTCCCTGCTCCCCACATCTATACTTGTTCTTCAATTAATTTCCACTTTTGCTATACCATCTTCTGTTTGTGGTTTCAATCTTTGATTCCGACGGACAAATAATCTGGGGAAGCAATCCTGCCCAGAGGAACACTTCGTGTTCCATCCAAAAATTGTGTGTCAGCCCTCTTCACGTCGAACAGTGAATATACCCACAGATTCTGTCCCTTTCCTGATCTTGAGGCTGATGGATGACCCACCAGACACTTAAACTTG